ATTAACAAATTCACATAATAAAAAACTATCCCAACTTCAATAATTTACACTAAATAACAGTTACAGTACTAATAACAGTAAAATACATTTTGAGTTGGGATCAATAAGTGTCCCCCTAACTTTGGAGAGACTCAGCAGCCAGACACTTCTATAATAGCGAGCCCCCACCAAGTGAGCCTGTCAGGTTCCAATGCGAGGCTAGTTTTGCTCACCAACTTCGAGGCTAATCCCCTTCACCTATATCAGCAGGTGGCAAGCAAGACACAGGAATTCGACATGGGTCTTGAGTTCTATCATTTAATCACTGTCAAATTACCTGAACTGTACTCTTTTACACTCTCTATTACACTACTACATTTAACTTCATACTCTGCTCTGGTTGCTGCAGCCTCACTGTCACTCATCACTGCCAAACACATGTGCTTTCTCTCTCTCCCTCAGCCATACACTCTCTCTACACACACAATCTGGAACCAAAATGAGACACCGAATGTGCATTGTGATTTAGTCCGGTAGGTACTGGTCGTATAGGAAACAGTGCCATATTGGCATAGGATTTCGCTACCCAACCCTACTCAGAACAGCTATTAATACTTCTATAAACACTAGCTTAAGGACAATGCTAGCAAAAAAGGCCCATTCTTACTTAAAAATCAAGCTTCATCTTGTTTACAGATGATCCTGAACTGAAGAGGCTGTAAGACACACAGGACCAAACAGACATAGAAGGACTTTACGCCCCTACTCACAAAGTAAACGGCTCCAAAGCTACCATGACCGATCTCGCGGAGGTCAGCGAACAGCTTCTCCGGATCATCTTTGCAGAAGAGGTCTGCCACCTCGGGGTCTTTCAGATTGCCCGCCCGTGCACTTGAGGGCATGGCCAGGGCCTGGAAGACAGGGGAGAGCACAGGTTACTACTGAAAGACTGCAATGAGGAGGGGAAACACTCAGTTTAAAAAGGTCAAAACAAGGAATAGCCATCCAGGCCTCAGTAGGAATACTGAAGGGGAAAAAAAATTGCTACTGAAGTATTCCTATTATACAATTCAACACACAATTTTGTAAATTCCTGGTTTTTCAAAAGCTCAAATCTCTAACATTTTTCACAGGAGCTTAAACAATCAAGTATTTGATCAACAACAACAACAAAAAAAAAATCAGTCAGCAAATATTCTGATTTAAATTTATCAATCATTGAAGCTATAATACCAAACTGTTTTCAGATTCTGAAATGTGAGGATTTGCTGTTTTTATCACATCATAATTAATCAAATCTGCTTGTCAAATTAAAGGAGAAATATGAAGACATCACATCACACCACATTAAAAAACACTGGCCTATTATATTTCTTTGTTAAGAGTAGGGTTGTCACGATACTAAAATTTCAAACTCGATATCGATACCCAGGAAAATATTCAATACTCGATACCATTTTCGATACAGCAGCAAAAAATTAAGAGGCATGTCATTTTTTAAATAAAGATCAGAACAGTAACATCAATGATAACAACAAAAAATCCCTCCAAAATAAATAACAACCAGAAACAAGATCTGTCCATACAAATGTATTTATCTACAGCCCTGTTTATTTTCTGTGCTTCTGGTGACTTGGCACCATATTTTCATTGCTGATCAAATAGAGTTGGTAGTTTAGGCTCAGGATGCTCCTGTTTCTACCTCACTATGTGATCAGAGAACCAGGGGTTACGGGAGAAACCAAACGTTTTTTCAGCTTCAATCTGTGACTTTACAGTTAACATAACTTTTCAGACACACATAATTGTGTTGTCCTGTTAAACCAACATTGTCTATTAATGTTACAGACGGGCATGACTGATAAAGTTTTCTGCTTAGCTCCCACATTAATGTTAGAAGTTATATTTTAGTTTGATGCTGGCGACACCAGCTGCTCAGCTGCTAGTGAGGGGAGGGGCTGTACCTGCCTTCTGCAGCATGCTGTGTTCACTTCACTAAATATTTCCAAAGAGCGCTTTTTCCTTTATCATTTTTGACCAAAACTGGCTGCTCTGATCCTCCTGCAGCCGCACTGGCCATATTACAGCAACAGAAATGTGTGCATGCATGCACAGCTACGACAACAAGCCGGGTTGCAGCGAGGGCTTTGTGCCTGCCAGACGCTGCCTGCACAGCGCGTGTCCATCGGACCCGTCGCGCGCACCCGACAGGCGCTGAGGTGGTGTGCACTGTTAGTATCGATACATTTGTAAATTAGTATTGTATCCGGATACAGCGTTTGAGTATCGATACATTTCAGAGTATCGATACTTTTGACAACCCTAGTTAGATATTCATGATGTACACAAACCTTTAACAAATCAAAAATATTAATACTTTTTGATGGATGTATTGACAGACTTCATAGTAGGCTCCAATCCCGTGTTTTAATTTTTGGTGAAGGAACAACCTTTTGGTTTAAATTTGGATCATGGACTGTGTGCCCATTTTGTGTTTGAAGTGATGTGAAGCGTCTGTTTTCCACTTCAGTTGGGCAGAAAACCATCTAATTAATGTGTTAAACACACTGGAAAATGCATTCTTGTGCTCTTGTAAAGTGACCCATTTGCAAAACTCCTCATGTGCACCAAAATCAGAGACTTTATCAGCTTCCCTGAAATCTGTGGTGCATGTCTCAAGAATTCTATAATATTTCAGGAATGTCACGACTGGCTGCATTTGGAGTTATCAGCAGCTCTGCACCTCTGGGGTGTCGTGATAAAAAACAGTTTATGTCTCCCACAGTTTATCTATCTCAGACAGTAACTAGCTGACAAGTAGTGACATGAAGATGAAACTGGATGTTTAACTGTGAAGGTGAAAGAGTTACAACAGAAAGCAGAGTAATAATACTGAGGGAGAGAGTGACATGAACAGCATAGAGCGAATGCTGAGTGGGGGGGGGGGGGGGCTTGGGGGGTTGACAAAATGGCAGCTGGTTTTCACAAAGTGCACTTCAGCATGAATAGATTTCAATTATTAACTGTTCAGTCTGGGGCTGAAACTTGTGACGTCGACAGCATACATGCTGTGAACAGATTCCAAAATAAGAGGACAAGGCAAAAGTCATCTTTCCAATGCATTAACTAATTGGTGACATTTAGTGTCTCTATTTGTGTCATAAAGATGCAAATTACGAGGACAGGTCTATCTGAAAAAATGGTGACAATACTAAACTGTTTAACTTAAAATGTGTGAACCTAATGAATATTTAAAGAGACATGTATTTAGATAAAAATGTAATGAAAACAAATGTGGGGAATATAGTTTTAAAGAAAACACTAGTAAAAAGGACTCAAATAACTGACAAGTACAAAGAGAGCTGAAAAAAACAAACTGTGGGGTTTCTCCACACATTCACTTATTTGTGGCCGCCTGCCATGATTAAAACATCAGCTGCAACATTTTGATTTTCTATTTTCGGAGCTGGGCCATTTATTAGGATTGCTGCCATTGCTCCACACTTTAGCAGTGCAGAGCGTACTCTTGCCACAGGTGGTGCAGCAGAACTTCAGTCACAGAGAAAGGGAGTCTTAACCGTTTATTACACTGGGTCTTTGCCTCTGCAGCAGCTGATCCTCTCATCTATTGATCTGATCAGCTCTGATTGACTTAAAAATTATCCACCCTGTGACTTAAAACTGCTGCTGAGGAAAGAAAAATTTAACTAATGAAGAGTTACACCTGCGGTGCATTCAGGGTCCTGCAAAAACCTCTAATTTAGAGAGGGGACACACACTGATACACAAGGACATGCAGGCAAGGGGAGGAAAAAAAAAGTAAAGTTACCAGCCGAGCACTAGCTCTGTGAATGTTAAGGAAGGCGGTGTGCTTGGACGGAAATGGTGACAAAGACATGCTATAAGAATGTCAAAATAAAGGCATATCTTAAAGACGACAATATCTATCAATGTTTTCACTTTCATGATACTGAATCATTGAACACTGAATTGATTTACTGATACAGATAAATGTATCGGCCCTAACAGACCAATTGTTTTGGCTCTGAAGGCATCGTCAGTAGGAAAGATCTCATACTAAAATACTAAATGTGTTCACTTGTTCTACACCTTTAAAGTAATTAATTACAGAGGACCATTACGCCATTTTGTTCAGAATTAAAATTGAGTATGAACCATTGATGTCCCCTTTTCGACATAAAAATGTCACAAAAATGCTGCAGATTTATTATCTTTTGATCAAGTGATAAATTTTTTTTCAGCTCTAGTTGAAATATGAAAGAAGGTATCTTTCTTTTAAAAAAAAAAAAAAAATCAGAAACAGCCCACCAGTGACGCAAAAAAGAAAAACGTAAGGAAAAAAGAGTTATTACATAAATTTGATTACATGCATGACACTTGTGTTGTCTTGTGCATCTGAAGATCAGAGAGCAGCAGAGAGCCTGACTGACAGCACCACAGTTCTTCACCATCCAACTCATATCAAAGATTTGTATAAATAAATCCTTAATGAAGAGCCAAGCTAAGCTTCAAATCAAATCTTTCTACTAAATCAGCACCCCTGAATGTAATCTCAGCCTGCACACTGAGTGACGGTTATTGACAAATGCAACATCATTTCGTAATAGGGTTAATGTAGCTGCCCATCTTTGAGTGTCAGCTGGAGGCCCAAGAAGACCCGGCAACATAATCAGGCCTCTGTGACTCTGTGAATACATGAAAACATGCCTTCAGGGTCCCCGTTTAATGCAGTGCTGGAAGGCTTGCTCCTTTTAAAGCTCTGCTGCTGTTTAAATGCACTAGTAAATCTGTGCTAGACGAGGAGACAGATTCCTCCCCCTACCCAACCCAACATTTATTCAAAACGCAGTGAACCGATTTCCAATTATATACTATGTGGCACTCAGTGGCCTGATGGTGTTCAATCCAAAGCAAGGAAGCAGACGGCTGCAGCTGCCATCTACAGTCAGGACGACAACAACCAATCTGACAAATGTTAAAGACAGAAATGTATGAAGCATTTTTCAAACTGGAAGAAGGAGACACTGAGCATCCTCATTACCTAAAGCCTAAACAATGCACTGTGGTTCTAATCTGGTCATGGACCTGTATCATGTCAATCCCCTTTCAAATTTTCTATCATTCCACACTATACATTTTCACAATTAAAAGGAGGCATGCCATGAAAATAAATGTGGCCTTCAAATGGGGTCTTGTAAACTGTAGTAAGAGTCCACATAAATAACCCAATTTTGTTGAAAATCCCAGCTCAGGGTTCCTACACATTTGGAATTTCAAAATTCCATACTTTTCCATACCCTAATTTCCAGACTTCTCTGCTTTTTTTTCTCCCCCAGAGAATATGCGACATCCGAGTAAATATATCAGTGTATCATATTTCACATCATATTTAATTATTCTTAATAGGCGATTGTAGCCAAGTATCATAATGGCATGCAAATAAAAACTCAGGTAAGTTCAATGTCTGGGCTGAGGCAAAAAGGTTGGGACTTTGGGTGCAAGCTATGCAGTAACGAGACGTTGGTGTTTTTTCCTTTCATGTGGCTCAGAATCGCCTTCTACCCCATGTTGGCGATGTCAAACGATTTCACACAAAGCTTGCATCTAGCTCTGTGTGTGAATTGGGAATCCTTGGCCAACCAGTATTTATATACAGTATTGTTAAGCCATCCATCCAAAAACTTGCATCTACCCATTGTGAACCACGTGAAACTCGTCTTCTTGTCGAAGGTGCAGAGTTGGAGTGAAACTTGATACCTGGGGGGCTGGAGGAGGGTCATGGGGCAGCAGATTGGACATACCACTTGTCAATCAGGTAAAAGGGGCGGTATGTTTTCTGAGACGTTTGCTCTCACACATACTGTGCTTGGCCCGACGTAAAACACGATCCGATTCTGGATTGATTAAATTATTTTTGGAAATACCTAATTTTCTATTTTATAAAACAGTATTTTAGAACAGTGGTAACAGTCTGGAAACATAAATATTTTTCCATACTTTATTTTTCATTTTCCATACTTTTTAATACCTGGAAATTGGTCAAATTTATTTCCATACTTTTCCATACTTTCCATACCTGGGTAGGAACCCTGCCAGCTCATGGATTGGGACTGAAAAGTGCACTGAGGTTTGTCCACCATTTTCTCCAGCTTCATGTTGAATTGTAAAAACCACCAAACCATTCACCATTTTTTGAAATGAGAAGATGTCTTGTGGTATCTATTTTTGTCATTTTCCAAGGAACAAAGCTGTTCTCACAGAGTTTAAGCACACAACACAGGGAGTTTCCCCCAACATGCTATGTGGAAAAAACAAACTCACACATGTTCATTTAAGTTAAATTTCAAGCCAGCATAAGAAACTAAAAAATAGATAAAGAAAAAGGGAAGCTGAGCCCAGACAGTTCTTTTTAAACATAGTAAGTGACGTAAAATTTGGTGTGTCAGTGGTGCTGAATGACCAAGATCACATGGTTGAGCTCAAGGCTGACTTGGAAATGGTTTTGCATAACAGAAGCTCCTTGTTGTAAATGGGTGTTACAGCCACACAAAGTTGGCACTGAAACATTTTAGCACTAATAATGAGCACCTCCACAAGCTAAATTGAGTTTATTTCTCATTTTGTAAAAAGTGGCTGGTTGGCAGACAATGAGGTCAGGGTTTCCATTAAATAAAAAACCAGTGCCAATCCATGTGGTCTGGAAGATTTCAATGTCCTGGACTAAGAAGACTTTTTTAGTGCCTTTCTTTGATTGGTCAGTGTTTGAAACTTTGGCCATGTTTCATAAGAAGACCTGACATTATAATATTATATATGAGATAATTAATAAAAGGTGCTAGACTGCATTCTTTGGGAGAGCCCATAAAGACAAAAATATTCTATCAGCTTTACACAGTGTACTAAGTAAAAGCCATGCAAGTGAGCTTCAGTGACAAAATGTGTTTGACTGCATTGTTTTCTATTCGAATGTCCCACTGGCCTGAGCTGAACTTTTTTTGAATGTCCTGTTTCTATTTTTTTTATGTCACTCCCTTTGAAAGCATCACAATGGATGAGAAAAGAGTGATTCATGTTGAAATGGCGATTTATCTACACAATACCTTCTTATTTCACTAAAAAACCTAAATAAGGTGGCAAGTGGCTAGAAGGAGATAGCCAGGGAGCTGAAAATGTCTGGAAAATTACCATTGCTAATTAGGGCTGCCACTAACGATTATTTTCATTGTCGACTAATCTGTCGATTATTTCTTCGATTAGTCGACCAATCATTTCATTGAAAAATGTGTTAAAATGTTGAAAAATGACGGTCTGTCTCGCCCAAACCCCAAAATTACGTCATCTAGTGTCTTGTTTCATACTCATGCCAAAGGGTTTTAGTTCACTGTCACGGGAGAGTGTGTAAAGCTGCTAATATGTGAACATAAGAAGCTGCAGTAAGAGTATTTTGGGGTACTTTTATAGTACTTTTCTATGAAAAATGACTCAAACTGATTAGTCGACTACTAAAATAGTCACCAATTATTTTAATAGTTGATTAGTCATCAATTAGTTGACTAATCATGGCAGCCCTATTGCTAATAACAAACTACTTTGCTATATTGTATATCACTTCCAGTAAATATCACAACATAAAACTAGGTTTTCTGTTTAAAGTAAAAACATAGGAAGATAGCAAGGACTTGCCCATCTCCTAAGTTATTTGGACTCCAGTATGTTCTCAATGGCACAGCTGAAAGGTTAGATTGTCAGTTTACATAAGCAATACATTGATCTCTGACCCAAAACAAAGACTCAGATCTGTCAAAGTTACAATCTCAAAGATCTCTGTTTCGTTCTCTTTGATGGCACCTAGGCTTGGGCTTCTATATTTGTATACCTTCATGACATTTCACCAGGGTAAATGGTATATGACGGTTTGCAGGAGGGGATGCAAAAATACATGTTCATCAACGGCCACTGACGGAGCTAAAGTTGTGTATGTGTTTGAGAGAGAGAGAGAGAGAGAGAGAGAGAGAGAGAGAGAGAGAGGGGAAGACATGCTGTAATGTGAACTATTGCATGAAATGTTTCTGTAGGCCTAAGTATTAATAACTTAGTTGGAACACTGCTTTGTTACTTTTGACCCACCTCCCGGAAGCCGTGATATTTATATAACTTTACCAGTCAATAAAAACATAAATAAGTAAAAAACAGCCCGGTGAATGTGAGTGGATACTGATCAGTGACGCTGGCAAATCTTCACGATTGGCAGCAACAAAACTGGAAGTTAAAAAGTATACCACTTCACCCATCTGGCAGCCTACAGTTCATCTGGTACATAAATCAGATTTGTTACTTTTTAAGCACACAGCAAATTCCACTAGCACCACCGCAAACCAGCGCCCTAGTGGATGGGGGTGGGGGATTTATATAACGATGTCGGACTCAGTTGTTGATGACTGACAGCCACTGCCGTCGGTCTAACTCTACTTAAGTCAACGACAATGCTCATTAAACAAAACAAAACTGCATGATCAATTCTTTTTTCAAAACACCTGTTGAACCAGCAGAACACAAACTTGAACCCTCTGGTTTCTTCAGGCTTCAGTCATTATCAGGATATTGTTACTCTTCTGGCAACACTGAGAAATTATACATTGTGATAAACATTGATATGATCAAAAATTTAAAAATGACCGCAATCATATTTTCTTGCCATATTACCAAGACCATGTGAAAATATGATGTTTTGCCTGCTGTCTCTCTACGCTTGCTGGTGGCATGTGCTGAGCAGTATATATATATATATATATATATATATAAATAATACATCACCTCAAAAAAGCATTTCTATATCAGGAGCTGATAGATGTTCTCCTCTCTGATCTCAAACATGCACACATGACAAGATTTGAAAGAAAATGATTAATCACACACACAAAAAGACATTATTAAGATTATGATGCTAAAGGAAGCAACTCAACACCTCACATGATGACTCTCATGTGATCTTATGGAGAAGCATATTAACTAAAAGGCTGACATGTGATAACTTGCTGTAATAGTGATTTGCTGTAAAAAAAAAAAAAAGAAAAAAGAAAAAAGAAAAAAAGAAAAAAAAAAGGGAAAGGCTTAACGAGTCTGGATGGGAAAAGGTTTGGGAGACATGGTCAACACAAATTATCTATTCTTCAGTGAGAACCTAAGATGAGATTTTAACAGTCAGTTAAATATCTGTCAACAGTAGTATGCTAGTTAAAGGACACATTAGCCTCAAGGCCGAAGCAGGAACATCAAGCCCGGCTTTAGAGACACAACCTAAACCAGTAAAGCCATCTCAGCGGCGCACAGAAATTGTCTTGCATGTTTCAAGTCATCTGATCAGCTCTTCCCATCAGCCTTGATCAAAGAATTTAGAAGCAGTATCAGCCAGTAATTGTTGATGCTGGATTAAACACAGCATCTTTTGTCATTGCTCTTTTCTTTGTTTGTTTGGCCATAATAACTTTCACATTATGTAGCCTGCCAGCTACCTGCTCACATCAGGGACACATGTCGTCTTGGTTGTTGATGTTGTTAATTTCTACCCAAGTTCAGAATGTGTTCTTGCTCAAATATTTCTGGCTGTGAAGATTTTGCTTTAAAAGCTTTTGTTGGTGATTGTTCACAATAAAAAGAGCTGCTATACTCCATTACAGTCTTTCCAAAGCTGCATTGATGGTGCCAAGTTGCCAAGATACGGAGGACCCTGAAATGTTGACCAACCCTTGAGATTATGACTTAAACTTGATTAAAAAAATAACTTTAAATTCAATCCATCACAAAGAACAGTGCTAGCAGTTATCTGCAGCAACAATTTCTCATTTTACTATAGTTCTCTAAACACAAATCAAAGACAACTATGCGCCCCCTGTCCCAAATCCGAAAACCCAGAGAACCTGCCCCACCCACACATTCCCAGTGGCATAGGGACAAACTGGAAAAGATTGGGCATACAGGATGAGGGTCAGACAGAAGTTTCATAAGGGTTTTTCTTCTGCTTTCACTCTGTTCCAGGATGTCTGAGCCATGAAATTTCAACTCGTTGTTAATTATTTTTTGCCCTTACCTAATTCTGCATTAAACCTATTTATTTGCGCAATGTGTGTTGCTCTGTTTCTCCTGAAATGGGGCTGGGGCTTAGAAAAGCATTAGTAATGTCACCTATAGGCAGGTGGTCTTTCGTACCAAAGCAAACATTGTGAGGTGTATGATGCTTCTTTTGAATCCTTTGTTGATTTTTTTTCTATAAGAATATTAATTCATTTTTGTGGGCATACCATTGAGCTTATAAACATTTATGCTCTCTTTCAGTCCCACAGTGTCCTGTTCTGAACACAACCATGTTCTGTTGTAATGCAAGCTAACACAATGTTATAAATACCATATAACTTATACAACCAGCAGGTGATGGGGTAGCAAAGGTATATTGTTTCGAATTGTTTTTTGAAATTGAAAAGCTAATGACAACACTTGCAAAGGAAACCCTGTAAGCTAACCAGGCGAGCTAAGTAAATGTAGCCTTAACGTTACTTACCGCGGCTTATTGTGGTTCCGCTCTGGAACGAAAAACAACCGTTAGCAGCCAAGCTAGCGAGCCTCTATCCTCATAGCCCGGGTCTCCTCTCCCTGCGGATAATTAACACGGCGTTAGGCCCATTTCCACCGATGTCCCAGCAGTGAAAATAATTTACGGTTTTCTAATTACACTACTAGTTTAGCTGGCTCAAACAGAAGCTCGGCCAGTTGTCCTCTCTTACGTTACTAGCCTTAGCTAATTGGCTAGCTTAGCTCCGACAAGCTAACGTTAACATTAGCTGTTCTGCGGGGTGTGGCTGATGTTTCTCGGCGCTGCTCCACTTCCAAGCATATTGTCCCGTTACACTTGATCTTTGTAAATATATGCTCGTAAAATCCGGTTTAATATCTGCGCCCCATCCTGACGGTGGACTTGTTCCTTACACCGTTTTTGTTCTTTTGCTAATACAAGATGGCACAGGCTGATGGGGCGGGACCATAGTGACCGGACGCTGATTTGTTCCATTTCCTGTGAGACTTCCGCTTCACAAATAAAAGGGTATAAATAAATCGACCTAGATAATATGAATAATCTAGTACAAAGGCTCGAAGGCTTGATTTAATGATTTTTTTTCCCAACAAGACTCCGTATATGTTGGTCACATTTCATTATGTTGAGGCAAAGCACTTAATGGTAGTAGTGGAAAAAATACTCAGATTTTTTAGTAGTAGCCTAACAGTAATGATATTATTGTAATAGCAGTAGTAACAAAAGTAGTTATAATGATCACACACACGTGCAGAAATTCTTTGTGAGCTCATGAGTACAAGTAATGCATTCAAAATCTTACTTAGGCCTATGTAGAAGTACAATTAGCATCAAAATACACTTAGAGTACTAAAAGTAATAGGCTACTCATTATGCAGAATGGCCATTACAGGACATTATTTTGTTGGATTATAATTACTGATGCATTAATTAATTTATTCATCATCTAAGTGCTGCAACTGGTAAAGGTGGGTATTTTATATGCTGCTGAGTAGCTTAATCTATGAAAACATTGTTTTAATCCTTGATATATGTTTTGTTTGGATAATGAAAATATGCAAAGTAACTAAAGCGTTTAATTTAATGTGGTGGAGTAAAAAGTACAATATTTCCCTATGAATTGTAGTGGAGTAGAAGTAAATTAAAGTAAAAGCACTATAAGTACAAAGTAGCATTAACGCACAAGTACCTTAAAACTGTAGTTAAGTGCAGTACCTGAGTAAACTGGTTAATAGACATGTACGAATGAAATGAAAATACCTAATGTACCTAATGTTAAAGTAGAAAGGAAAAACAAGGACATTTTAAGTTTCAAGTCATTTGTCATATCCCCATTGAAACAGGGATCCTTTTAAATAAATAATTGAATAAATATATTCAACATGTCTCTGCATTATGTAGTGAAATGTAATAAACTGAACTGGAATGCTTTGTTGCCCCATCCAGTATACTGTAGTTAAAATAAACAATATAACACCTTTTAAACACAATACATACAGCAAGTAAAAAAAGATAATATGTGCAAATGCTAAATGTTAAATCTAGTAGTAGTACTTCTGAGCAATCAGGTGGTCACTGTGAAATAAAATAATTCACAATAAACCTACAGTTTCAGAACAAGCTAACTCTTTGGGTTTTTGTTTTCACAACAAACAAAAAAATTCTGGCAACCTGTTTCAGGAGATTTATAGAATCAACTGTCCACAGCACAGCTGTGAAGTGTGGGGTATTTAAATGGCCAATATATTGAAAAAAAATTATGGGAAGAATACACAGTAGTATGATTTTTTATTAGGTCTGGTCATCACTGTCCCTCAGATCACGACTGACCAAAATGAAACTTGGCATGTTTTATCTATATATTGAAAAATCAAATTGTATCTATTGACAAAGCAGTTTCATGAATAAAACATAAAAGCTAGATATTTAAAACCCTAAATTCCTTTGTACAATACGTCAGACAGGCTCTTAAAGCAGTGAGGTAATCTGCCAAAGTTTAAGTGAAATTGCGACAGCTAGTGGGGATATCGACGCACTGCACTGCTTTATTTCTTAGTTCAACATACAAGCTAGTGTTATATAGATGGCCTCTTATTCTGGGATGTGTACAAGCGAGGAATGTTTAAACTATATGTCTTCATTTTTAAAAGCACCTCACAAAATATGCAAAACATTGTGTATCCTTGAAGCCATGATGAAAACATTAAATGTGATACACTGTTATAGATAAAACTACTAAGCAGTATAATATACTATAAATTAGCCTGTGACCAGCAACAACATAAAAATACTGCTTACAGATGTATGCATTATTATTACTAATACAATCATACAATTTATATGATATCAAAAGATCTGAGGGAAGACATTTTACATAACTAATAATTTTGATGCTCAAAGTACATTTTACTGATAATACTTCTGTACTTTAACTTAGGTGGAGTTGGTGGAATTATTTATAATAATAATAATAATAATAATAATAATAATACATTTTATTTACAATGCCATGTTCATCAAAAGATCTCAAAGTGCTACAAGTTAAAAACAAAGAAAGATTATAAAAAAAAGGAATGGAAGAGAATAAAACAAGATGAGCAGTTATTTAAAAGGATTTAAACAAAAACATCTAAGGGGGACCAAAAGCTTTGCTAAAAAGAAATGTCTTAAGATCCTTTTTTAAAACAGCCAGCGGATTGTGGTGCCCTCAAGGTGTCAGGGAGGGCATTCCACAGATGTGGGGCAGCAGCACAGAAGGCCCTATCTCCCATGGTCCTGAGTCTGGTTCTGGGTATTTGGAGGAGGTTTGAGTGAGTGGAGCGGAGGGAGCGTATTGTGTTTTGTGGGTTGAGAAGTGCAATTTAGACCTTTTGCCTAAGTAAAAGTAATAATACCACAGTGTAAAAATACCATTATGAGCAGTAAGTATGAGCATTTATATACTTCAAGTACCAAAAGTCACAGTAGAGTAGCCCATTTTAGGACAATATAGTATGACACTGGATTTTAATTCTTGATGCAAACATGTGTTCATCACTTAAATGGAGCAGCTTATAAAGGTGGAGCTCATTTATTTTACATTATATACTTTTGGGTAGCTTAAACTATAATCACAAATCATATTTTAGTAGTGTGTCTATTAGCTGTGTTATTAATCTAAATTAAACTAAAATTATTAAATGTAGTGAAGAAAAAAGTACAGTATTTCAATTTGATATGTAACGGAGGAGAAGTAGAAAGTAACATAAATGGAAATACATGAACCTCAAAATTCTACTTTTGTATAGTACTTGAATAAATTCACTGAGCTAGTTTCCACCACTGGTTTTAGAATAACGGCTTTAACTTGTTAAAGAAATATTTTGCCCACAAAATGACAATTTCTAAATCAATTAGTCACGCTGTGTTACCTTTACCTTGGTGAAGAAAACATTTTCTCACATGCCTCTACTGAAAATGGTGATCATATTGATTTATTGATTAATTAGGAACCATGTCTAACAACAGCAAAACTTTATCAAAACATTTACAATTTCTTTCACTATTTGTGCAGTATCATCCAAGTCTCATTTATCCAGTCGTATGCTTAATACTTCCCAAACACATGCATTTCTGCTAAAACCTTTTTCCGTGGAAGCTTGCTAAAAAATATAGTTTTCTTAACAAGTTCAAGGCAACATGACCAGTCGATTTCCAAATGGTAATTTTGATTTTTTTGATTTGATTTTATATACTTTATTAATCCCTGAGGGGAAATTCAATTTATAGGTGAAGTATTTCTTCATGGAGTGTCTGTTACACTACAGTACTTACTTCAGTAAAAGATCTGAATACTTTGTCTACCACTGTACATGAGGAAACGATTCAAGCACAATGTATGGCCTTCATGCCCAAACAATAGGTTATCAGAATTCCCAGTATAATCCATCTCACATTTTGGTTATTACACATTCAGTGGAAATGTGAATAATTCATGCAGCTGTTTTACCCAGTAACACTCACTGTGTGAGAAAGTATTTATGAGAGAAAATAAGTGACTGGTCAGTTTTCAAATGTGTGTTTAAGAGTTTTCATTCTAATATTGGAGCAAAGTTTTCTCTGGATTGCAATAATATTGTTACTATTGTGTATTTCAGCGCTGTGTTTGTTTCCATGAACACAGGGTCAATAGTGTCCTCTGTGTTTCCAGCGGCAGGAACACTTTAGCACATGGGAGTCATGTAACTGATTATGATTAGTGACCTCTTTTATGCTGTAGAGACAGACTGTCAGGATGTTCAACACCATCTCACATGTGTACCACCATATTTCAAAACCCCTTACCTACCATTACACCTTAATCACTGTCAGGACTTGTGATAGATATACACTTGGATCTTTCTGTGGGCCAGACTAAAGTCCTGTACTATAAACTTTGGGAGGCAGTTTCTAGGGCTTTCTACGCAGGTTTTTTTTGTATACTAGTGCATGACTGTAACTCATTAGCTTTAAGTCAATCTCTTTAAACAACACTCTGGCTACTTTTCATGAAATGATTTTTGTTTCATCTTTATTGCAATGTCCAGCAAGGCAGAGATGAAAGGTACATTAGGGTGGCAATTATAATACAAATGTTTATAATCTAAACAACTTTATTTACAAATACAATGATTATAAAGAAAAATAATATAAGTCATACATTTACAGTTGTATTTAAACAGTCCTAGTGATAAGAGTCCACATGAGGGCCATTTTAGTCCACCTCCTCGATGGTGGGCCCCTGGGAGCTGGCTCGTGCCTGCTCTCTACAGCTGCTTGCAGGCATTCCTCCCTGGTACAACTTGCTGATGATGGTGCTACACACTTTCTCCAGCTCTTTCTGCTTGTCTTGGTACTCCTCTTTTTCAGCCAACTGATTGTTCTCCAGCCAGGTGATGGTCTCCTCACACTTCTCAGTCACCTTCTTCTTGTCTTCCTCGCTAATTTTGTCCTTCAGGTTCTCGTCCTGCACACTGCTCTTCATGTTGAAGGCGTAGGACTCCAGGGAGTTCTTGGCAGAGATTCTGTCCCTCTGAACATCGTCCTCAGCTTTGTATTTGTCAGCATCCTGCACCATTCGCTCGATCTCCTCTTTGCTCAGTCGACCCTTATCGTTGGTGATGGTGATTTTGTTCACTTTGCCGGTGCTTTTGTCCACTGCAGACACGTTCAAAATGCCATTGGCGTCCACATCGAAGGTGACCTCGATCTGTGGGACCCCACGTGGAGCAGGCGGGATTCCAGTTAGCTCAAACTTGCCCAGCAGGTTGTTGTCCTTGGTCATGGCTCTTTCCCCCTCATAGACCTGGATGAGGACCCCAGGCTGGTTGTCAGAGTAGGTGGTGAAGGTCTGGGTTTGTTTTGTGGGGATGGTGGTGTTGCGTTTAATCAGGGACGTCATGACTCCTCCAGCTGTCTCAATACCCAGGGACAGAGGCGCCACGTCCAGCAGCAGCAGGTCCTGGACATTGCCGGAGGTATCACCTGTGAGAATGGCAGCCTGGACAGCAGCACCGTATGCCACTGCCTCGTCTGGGTTGATGCTCTTGTTCAGCTCCTTGCCGTTGAAGAAATCCTGCAGGAGTTTCTGAATTTTGGGGATTCTGGTGGAGCCTCCAACCAGGACCACGTCATGGATCTGTGCCTTGTCCTTTTTGGCGTCCCTCAGGGCTTTCTCCACCGGCTCTAACGTGTTCCTAAACAGGTCTGAGCACAGCTCCTCAAAGCGAGCCCTGGTGATGGAGGTGTAGAAGTCGATGCCCTCAAACAGAGAATCAATCTCAATGCTGGCCTGGGAGCTGGAGGACAGGGTTCTCTTGGCCCTCTCACAAGCTGTGCGCAGCCTCCTCAAGGCTCTCTTGTTCTGGCTGATGTCTTTCTTCTGTTTCCTCTTGAACTCCTCCACAAAGTGGCTGACCATGCGATTGTCAAAGTCTTCTCCACCCAGGTGAGTGTCTCCAGCCGTGGCTTTGACCTCAAAGATACCATCCTCAATGGTCAGGATGGACACGTCAAAGGTGCCTCCACCCAGGTCAAAGATCAGGACATTACGTTCTCCCGACTTGCTTTTGTCCAGGCCGTACGCGATGGCGGCTGCTGTCGGCTCATTGATGATCCTCATGACATTCAGTCCTGCGATGACGCCTGCATCTTTAGTTGCCTGGCGCTGGGAGTCGTTGAAGTATGCTGGGACTGTGATGACTGCATTGGTTACCTTTTGGCCGAGGTAGGCCTCAGCAATCTCCTTCATCTTCACCAGAACCATGGAGGAAATCTCCTCAGGGTAGAAAGCTTTGTTCTCTCCTTTGTGTTCCACTTGAATTTTGGGCTTTCCTCCATCTCCCACCACCTTGAAGGGCCAGTGCTTCATGTCCGCCTGCACCACTGGATCATCTATCTTTCTTCCAATCAGTCTCTTGGCATCAAACACAGTGTTGCTGGGGTTCAAAGCAGCCTGGTTCTTGGCTGCTTCCCCGATGAGCCTTTCGGTGTCAGTGAACGCCACATAGCTGGGGGTGGTCCTGTTGCCCTGGTCGTTGGCGATGATTTCTACTTTTCCATGCTGGAAAACCCCCACACAGGAGTAGGTGGTGCCCAGGTCGATGCCGATTGCTACACCTTTAGCTGCAGACATCTTGGTTGTTTTGAATTAATGTCCTGAAGATGCAGAGACAAAAATTAGACGGGAAAATTGAAAAAGTATGTACATACAGCAACCATTTTTACATTATGAATGAATCAATAAAAGCTTGTCCATTCTAAAAGATCGATTTACCATTTTACCCTTGGTGTGTTATTGTTACAGTCAAGTCAATTTTATTTTATATTATACTTTAATATATCCTTTTCTTTCCTACTGCAATCTTGTATGGGCAAGCACTTACAGAAGAAACCTCATACACCTTGTTACTTTACAGAAAGGATGTGTTAGAGTGATTACAAACTCTGAACCACGAGCGAGCTCAGGCCCTGTGTTTCAAAAACTTGCAATTTTGAATGTTTATGATATAAATGTGAATCGGATCTGCTTACTTGTGTTCCAGCAAAAGAATGATTATTTTACCTCCAGGTTTCTGTTATATATTTGTATCTAACAACCTAGTCCACAGCTACTTGACACAAAACTCTTCCGATCTCCACACTGCTTTCTTTAGAACCGCTCTTGGGCAATTTGCTATACATTATCAAGGTCCCTGTCTCTGGAATCAGCTACTTGACTATCTGAAAAAAATTATTTATTTAACATCATTTAAAAAGGCTCTCAATAAGTACCTCGTCAGCCAAACTATGTGCCATCAAACTTAATAAGTCATCTATAGTTATGTTGTTTATTTATTGTCTTAGCCTACTTTGTTCTTTCATTTACGCCTGTATCTTTATTGTCTTACATTATTCATTTATGTATGTATTTTTCTTTTTCCTTCTTATATTCACTGTATAATCACTCAGTTGATTGCTTCTTTTTCCTACTCATTCTTGTTATCATTTATTGTTTCTTATTTTTTGCCTTTGTAACAAATGTGGTCTTTGATTTATGTCTTCGTGGGTGAGGTTTTCATATAAGCCCTCGCAGGTTTCATACCTCTCCTTCGCACATCCCAATCAAAATAATTGTTTATATTACTTAAATATGTTTGTGAAAAATAAATTAAAAAAATGTAAAAAAAAAAAAAATAATAATAATAATACACACTCATTTTAATTTCAAGGACATTTTAGTTCAAAGCAACAAATAGTATACTTCTCTTAAAAAATAGCTTCAAATTAAAGGCTAAGGAAAAACGTGTCTATTGCACTGTAACGTTAAGCTACTCACATGATTTAATATCTAAAACTGACAGTTTTTCTAAAGGTGTTTGGTGAAACTTTCACTCAGTATGAGTGAAGCATAGTGAAGCCCCAGTAGCTGTATTTGAGCCAAGGACTGTTATTTCTATAATTCGCACATCATTTTAAGGACATTTTAGCTCAGAGCGACAAGTAATTTATCACATAAATCACCAAATAGCTTGATTTTAACTCCACAGCGCTGTACATTAAACATAAAGCCTAAAAAGACCGCTTTTCTGAGGGAAAGAAGTCCGTAAAGTCCGTAAAACAAATGCATTTAAATTCTAGAAGAAAACGGAAGTAGCACTTACTGTGGTGAAAAGATGAGAATATAAAGAGAAGGGAAGGTGAAGAGGTTTCTGTGCTGTCCCGTGGATCCTCTCGTCAGTGCTCTGGATGTCTGAATGCCGGTAACTGAGCCACTGGGACTTTATACATTGCTCACTGTTTTCTGGACACATCTCGAGCTTTCCACCATGCTGTCTACAGACTCCTTTGGTCCAATCACAGAGCTCAGCGCTGACGCTCGGCGTGATGACGTAGCCCCGGGGCGTCTCACGAGAAGCTTCGAGGAAGTTCCGGGAGGTTCGAGCAGACACTCACATGGGTAAACGAAAAGATTTGTTTTCAATCGAGAATTGATTTTTGGCTAATCTAAATAAAGCTTGAATTTAATTAAGTCGGGCAAAATTTTCTCCTGCAGGACCACAGAGTGAAACAGAGATTGAATCTCAACAATAACCGGAACAACAGAAGGAATGTGGTTTATTGGAAGTTTAATAACTCACTACTACAAAGTCCACCAATTTTCAGAGTTTTGGGAGTAATGAAGATGTAAAGTGTTGTGAAGTTTTTTAATGTTAAATAAGAAAGATGCCTATTTTTCATACTGCAAATAAGGGATCTAAAAAGAGATTGGAATAGAAAAAAATAATGATATTTCTGCTCTAACTTAGGACAATATTACAATGAGTGAAAACCATGCTATCACATTAGAAAACTAACAGCAGGAACTGAGTGAAATCTATGCAGATTAACGTTTGTGCACTTTCATAGGAAATGGTCAGAGGAGGATGAAAAGAGCAGCAGGTAGGCTATTTCTTAAATTTAGAGAGAATGTATAACTTAATAACCAGACTAAATATTGGAGACACCACCATCTGTGAAGATGTCAGTGTTATCTCTAAGTAGTAACTTATGCTAATCTTTATAGTTCAAGTGATTTCCATGAAAGCTCTAATATTCTGAATTCAACTAAAGATGCAAAAGCAGTGAATAGTGTTAGCACAGAATGTTCCAAAATTATTAGGCCTACTTCAGAGGAAATATCTCAGGTGTTAAAGATCTAAAAACAAAGTACCAGGCTTACTTCTAAATTTTATAAAAATAGGCTATCTGTCAAAATATTGCAAAATCTTTTTGCTGGCTATACCCCTGCCCCCGGGACTGTTGTTTTTAAATCTTTCTATACTTAAATCCTTCTTCAACGCCAAGTTTCTTTTCATGTGGATCATCCACTCCAGACACTTTTCCTGGGCCCTTCTCTGACTTTCTGCCAAAGCTTTTTACCTTTATCTGGAAAAATAAGCCACACAATATAAATAAGGAGGTTATGTCTGTGTCTCAAACAGAGGGAAGTCTTAATAATTTGGAATGCAGCTATTCATTATGCAGAATGGCCCATTTCAGATTATTATGTCTATGGATTACAATTATTATGCATTAATGTGTTCATCATCTAATTGTTGCAGCTGGTTAAGGTGGAGCTCACTTTATTATTTTATATGCTGTTGCTTAATCTACAACAGTGTATTTTTTAAAACTTGATATATAGTTTGTATTAATAATGAAAAACTTTAAAGTAACTAAAGCATTCAAATTATGCAGTGGAGTAAAAAGTACAATATTCCTCTCTGCATTGGAGCAGACGTATAAAAAGTAGCATAAAATAGAAGCACTCAAGCACAAGTACCTTTAAATTGTACGGTTCATGGACGGTTCACCACTGCTTTAATGGATATGTAGGTACTATGAATGTCCAGTGTTTAAGTAGTAAAATAATTCAAAGGATGTCATAAGTTTCAAGTTTTTATCTGCACATACATATCTCAGTGAACTAAAACAAAAAAAAGCAATTTTGACAAGATTAAAGATATTTACACCATAAATTGATGTAGAAAATGTACAAATGATGCATTAAGATTCACCAGAATGCAGGGAATTAAAAATTTCATGCCCAAAATATTCTGGCAGAGGACACAGCCCAACCCCTCATTTCATATATTCAGATTTATGGAATCAACTGTCCACAATACAGCTTGGAAGTGTAAGGTGTTAAAATTGCTAATAAATTAAAAAATTAGAAGAAGAATATAATATCAATTACTATTAGTGGTCAGCACTGTCCCCGAGGTCACATTACTGAATGAAACTTAGCATGTTTTATTTATTGAAAAATAAATGAATAATATATTGATAGTTATTGAGAGCACCGTTTAAAACAACAACAGTATAAATCTAATTATTTAAAACCCTAAATCCTTTCATGAAGTGTGTCAGACAGGTTCTTAATACAGTGAGAAAGTCTGCCAAAGTTTAAGTCCATGCTGTCATGTCAATCACTGTCAATCATTTCAGTGATTGACATGATTGACAGTTGTTATATAATATTGGATAATAGTTATTAATGCATTAATCACTTAAATGTTACAGTTGGTAAAGGTGGGGCTCATATTATTTTTTATTTACTGCTGGGTAACTTAATATATATCTTATTAGTTTATCAGATTTTCTAGTGTAATCCATCTTCACATGGCTAATTTATGCCGCTGTTTTACCCAGTAACACTGACTGTGTGAGAAATTATTTATGAGAGAAAAGAAGTGATTGGTTAGTTTTCAAATGTGTGTTTAAGATTTTTCTTTAGTTTCCTCTGGATCTTACACTGTTTCCTTCTGGAGTATTTCAGCACTGTGTTTGTTCCCACCAACATAGGACCGAGAGTCTCCTCTGTGTTTCCAGCAGCAAGAACTTTAAAGCACATGGGAGTCATCTGAATGATTGTGATTATTGATGTCTGTCATGCAGTAGAGACAGACTGTCAGGATGTTAACCACCTTTTCAAATGTGTTACCAGTGTACTTTAAACACATACTTTATGATTGAGCCTTATTAATGACCTCCTATGCAGTTTTTTTTCATATACCAGTGCTTGAATGTAACTCAGCTGTGTCTCAGCTTCAAATTGTTCTGTTGAAACATGATTGTATTCTAATGCTTTCTACTTTGTACACCAGCTACTGAACACACACAACTTCCCAACTTTTAATTAATGATTCTTTGAAGTCATAAACCAGAAAAATAAAACCAGAATAACCAGAATAATGATATTTGTTTATATTTGTTTCATCTTTATTGCAATGTCCAGCAAGGCAGAGATGAAAGGTACACTAGGGTGGCACTTATAATACAAATGTTTATAATCTTAACAACTTTATTCACAAATACAATGATTATAAAGAAAAATAATATAAGTCATACATTTACAGTTGTATTTAAACAGTCCTAGTGATAAGAGTCCACATGAGGGCCATTTTAGTCCACCTCCTCAATGGTGGGCCCCTGGGAGCTGGCTCGTGCCTGCTCTCTACAGCTGCTTGCAGGCATTCCTCCCTGGTACAACTTGCTGATGATGGGGCTACACACTTTCTCCAGCTCTTTCTGCTTGTCTTGGTACTCCTCTTTTTCAGCCAACTGATTGTTCTCCAGCCAGGTGATGGTCTCCTCACACTTCTCAGTCACCTTCTTCTTGTCCTCCTCGCTAATTTTGTCCTTCAGGTTCTCGTCCTGCACACTGCTCTTCATGTTGAAGGCGTAGGACTCCAGGGAGTTCTTGGCAGAGATTCTGTCCCTCTGAACATCGTCCTCAGCTTTGTATTTGTCAGCATCCTGCACCATTCGCTCGATCTCCTCTTTGCTCAGTCGACCCTTATCGTTGGTGATGGTGATTTTGTTCACTTTGCCGGTGCTTTTGTCCACTGCAGACACGTTCAAAATGCCATTGGCGTCCACATCGAAGGTGACCTCGATCTGTGGGACCCCACGTGGAGCAGGCGGGATTCCAGTTAGCTCAAACTTGCCCAGCAGGTTGTTGTCCTTGGTCATGGCTCTTTCCCCCTCATAGACCTGGATGAGGACCCCAGGCTGGTTGTCAGAGTAGGTGGTGAAGGTCTGGGTTTGTTTTGTGGGGATGGTGGTGTTGCGTTTAATCAGGGACGTCATGACTCCTCCAGCTGTCTCAATACCCAGGGACAGAGGCGCCACGTCCAGCAGCAGCAGGTCCTGGACATTGCCGGAGGTATCACCTGTGAGAATGGCAGCCTGGACAGCAGCACCGTATGCCACTGCCTCGTCTGGGTTGATGCTCTTGTTCAGCTCCTTGCCGTTGAAGAAATCCTGCAGGAGTTTCTGAATTTTGGGGATTCTGGTGGAGCCTCCAACCAGGACCACGTCATGGATCTGTGCCTTGTCCTTTTTGGCGTCCCTCAGGGCTTTCTCCACCGGCTCTAACGTGTTCCTAAACAGGTCTGAGCACAGCTCCTCAAAGCGAGCCCTGGTGATGGAGGTGTAGAAGTCGATGCCCTCAAACAGAGAATCAATCTCAATGCTGGCCTGGGAGCTGGAGGACAGGGTTCTCTTGGCCCTTTCACAAGCTGTGCGCAGCCTCCTCAAGGCTCTCTTGTTCTGGCTGATGTCTTTCTTCTGTTTCCTCTTGAACTCCTCCACAAAGTGGCTGACCATGCGATTGTCAAAGTCTTCTCCACCCAGGTGAGTGTCTCCAGCTGTGGCTTTGACCTCAAAGATACCATCCTCAATGGTCAGGATGGACACGTCAAAGGTGCCTCCACCCAGGTCAAAGATCAGGACATTACGTTCTCCTGACTTGCTTTTGTCCAGGCCGTATGCAATGGCGGCTGCTGTTGGCTCATTGATGATCCTCATGACATTCAGTCCTGCGATGACGCCTGCATCTTTAGTTGCCTGTCGCTGGGAGTCATTGAAGTAAGCTGGGACTGTGATGACTGCATTGGTTACCTTTTGGCCGAGGTAGGCCTCAGCAATCTCCTTCATCTTCACCAGAACCATGGAGGAAATCTCCTCAGGGTAGAAAGCTTTGTTCTCTCCTTTGTGTTCCACTTGAATTTTGGGCTTTCCTCCATCTCCCACCACCTTGAAGGGCCAGTGCTTCATGTCCGCCTGCACCACTGGATCATCTATCTTTCTTCCAATCAGTCTCTTGGCATCAAACACAGTGTTGCTGGGGTTCAAAGCAGCCTGGTTCTTGGCTGCGTCCCCGATGAGCCTTTCGGTGTCAGTGAACGCCACATAGCTGGGGGTGGTCCTGTTGCCCTGGTCGTTGGCGATGATTTCTACTTTTCCATGCTGGAAAACCCCCACACAGGAGTAGGTGGTGCCCAGGTCGATGCCG